TGACTGTATTAAAGCCCACGTTCTGTCCGCTTAATATTTATACAATGCATTGCAATATATTATCATTAATATTGCATACTTTATATTTAACCCTTAAAGCGCACATCTCCGAAAAATTACGTAAAGCGCACTGGGGGTATGAGATACCACAGTGTCTTTAAGTATGTACTGTAACGACGCTATTGACTATTTTATTGCATAAAAATTTCTGAATGAAAGTAATGTCATGTATTTTAAGGATAAACAAAAATTATAGCGATTTCTTAAAATTAACATTGTTTAAAAAATTATTGAAAAAGACATTTTAATGGGACTTATCAGAGCACAAAGTTCGGAGTGGGGTATCCTACACTCCATGTGCGCTTTAAGGGTTAATCTGTCTAGGGATTATGCAGTGCTATAAATTGGCATGATTATTGATTCGTATAATAAATAAATGTGAAGTAAGATATTGATGCGCTGGCCAGCTGCAATAAAAGATATCTTTTTCAAATGTTTGAAATATATTATATCGAATATATTGGGATATAATTACCGTGACGAAGCATTCTAAGGACCCTTTAATCATTCCGCCAACAAATATCTGTAAAGTTTTATTGCCCCTTTGCAATAGGAACAATATTAACTTCTGTATATGTAAGGGAGCCATATACCATTGAACGTTGTATCTATATGAAATGACGATTAAATGCGATCAATATCAATAATTCTATGATGAAAAAATAATTTATTTATAATTTAAATTAATTCTTTCTTATAAATATTATAACGCATAGTTATCTTACGAATTATTTATCTTTAACTTTGTATGAATTTTGTATCGTATTATGTATTTCTTAATTCCAGCTTGTGTGTGTGTGTGTGTTTATTGCACAAATTTTGACTCTTGCGTATCACATAAGAATATTTCTTACACTGTAGCAAATATGCCATTGTTTTCATCCATAAGTTGTTGCGAAATATCGTTGCAGAGGAAAGTATATAAATAATACATATTTACATATATTAAGGACTGAAACACTTTCCCGCTAATTTGTCCAGATGATATCTCTCGAAAAATCTAAAATGCGAGCTATTTACTTGAAAGTTTAAAAATAGAAAACCAAACTTACTCGATAAAGATTGAGGCTCGCGTAAAGCAATCCATTCAATATTAAAACGAAGAACGTTATGTTAAATGAAGATAGAAAAGTTTTGAGTATCCTTTAAGAAGGAATAGATATTAGTAGCTGTACAATACGTATCGTAACATGCAGAAATAATCTCAGAGATAAATTCTTTGGCCATTTCCGAGTGCGATTTCCATTTGATGCTAACGCTGTTTTTTTTTATTACCTTTTTTCCGATATTAAATGTTAATATTTAAGTTAAAATAATATAGCTAGATAAAGTTTCTAATAAAAGTTTTTGAAAAATGGTTTACATATAAAATTGAGTAAAATTTAATTATGTAGGTATTAATTTAAAATTAATTCATACAATTATTATAAATTTATATCGCAAGAGTCACACGTTTTAAATTATTTATAACTTAAGAAATATCAATAAGTTGATATTTTTTTCTGAAAGAAACATTGACGTCAGTAAGAACTTATATCTGAACTAAATTCCAGATATTACGATACATCCTGTGCATCTGTTTAATGACCACCATACTTTAAAGCTTTGCGATGCATATCTACGGCATAAATTATGCTCTTGTGAATCAAACTCGCACTTTTCGTGCCGCTCATTCGTGTAATACTGATTGTCATGATCCGCTCCATACGGTAACTGTAAATAACTGAAATGTTAACTATAATTGTATAATAATTTACATTCGCATAATGTGAGTTGTGTCACGTTACCACGTGCAAAAATTTTAAAATAAATCCTAATATAAAACCAACACAGTTTCACAATTGATTTGATGCAACGTAACAAATATTTACAACACAAATTTAAGTAATCTTCTTATCATTAATTTTCTTACCTGGTAATCTTTAACATTCCGCAGACATGTTGCATGTATAATATGAACATTGTTCCTATCGCTACTATTGCAAGCCCTCCTATGCAGAATGCTGCATCCGTATGCAATATAATTAAATAAAAATATCTTTCTTGATCGATGAAGTACTCTGTGACGATCTGTAACGATGGATTTGGCCGGGACGCGTTTGCAGAGAATACAATATCGTATACGTATGGCAAAAATGGTGTAAAAATAAAAGAAGTCACGCTGAAGACAACGAGCACTACAGAACAATTTGAAAAACAATAGTAAAAAAATTATTAATTAATGTTTTTAAATATTATTGCATATTCTATTTTTTTTTTTTTCTATTTAATCTTCCAACCTTCTAGGAAATATCGTCCAATATACATGGCTATACATGGCTACTTTAAATTCCATGCTCGCATATACATGCGCTTCTCAAAATATATTAGAAACAGACAAAAGTTTGTAAAGAAAGGTATTTTGATTTCAAGAATATTATTTAGTCGGAATTTTTTATAGAGGTGTCTTTTCATTTATGCTGTGTGTAACATACAGTATAAGGATGGCACGAAAAGACGCCGCAAAGATTTCAGATAATAATGAAGCAATGTATATAATGTATACATACGTGTGATGACTTGATGTATAATAATATCACCACACATACCTATGTGCGCATTGCTTTATTATCTATAAATTAATTGCTTAAAAAAGCAATGCGCTTTTGCCGTTTATGTTGTTAATTTAAAAATACGATTACGAAATTTGAGGCACAATACTCTACAACCGCAAATATGTCGTCATGTCATTTAATTAATAGAAACAGTATTTGAATTTAAATAAAGCCTGCATATTTCCTGATGAGTAATGAAAAACTGAGAGATTGTCTTACGCGTAAGTGCTTCAGTATAACGTTTAGCAACGTTCCAGTATTTTTCTATAATGGCAATTTCTCCTTCGTCTTTTAGATCGTCGTAAGTGTGTTGAAGTAGATCTAATAAATATTTTACCTGTCATCATACAATAATTTTCTATGCTACTTTTTACTTAAAAGTTGATACGGACTGTATCAACACACTGTATATGACACGCATTTGTCCAAATAAAGAATAACTCTTATCACTTACAAAATCCATGTTAAAGTGGAATGAGAAGTATGTTATTACGAAGTTAAAAAAGACGGTTGTGACAGAGAGAATTTCAATAACTAATTGCAGATCCCATTTTGTGGTCGCAAATGTTGTAAACTATGTGAAATGATTTTGCTGAATTATTTGTATTAAAGGAATATTTTGCTTGTGTGTCAACAAATAGAAAAATTTAAATTATCAATTGTTTTTCTACGCGGAATAGTTGAACAAAAAGCGCAATGTATGTATAATCATACTTACATCACAGAGTAAGTATATATATAATAAAAATATACTATTTTAATATATATATATATTATATATGTATTATAATTATATACATATAAATTTAAATGTGAGACAAGTTGCTATCAATAGCAATGTGGTAATTAATTAATAATTAATACATTATTATTATTATTAATAAATAAGAACATTTCTCGTAAAAAACTACTAAAATATATTGACTTACTTGAAATATGATAAAACTTCCCAGAATTCCATAATGCAAAGTCAGTTGCAATTGAACAAGTTTGGATTGTTTATAAGGCCACAAGCCAATCGCGAGCAAGAGAATCCGATTGAGACTAAAGTACCGATCCTTCGCGCTGATCATCTCTTCGAGCATCGAAACACATGTGACTGCGAAGATGTCGAGGACATTCCGTTTATCCCCTCTTTTCGACCGATCGATTGATATTCCTTCTTTTAGCGTAAATTTTACCATTAAACTTATAGTAACCATTAAAGAACATTATGAAAAAATTCAAACACTTACAATTTTGCAATTTTTACCTTCGAAGAGGTCTATGATTAAGCGATCGATGCGACGCATATAGGGGAATACAACAGATGTCTTCTTCCCATAAAAATGAAGAAGAAAGGACTTTCGTGAAAAGAATATTCACGTAAAAGTCACGCTGGCGCATTCTGTTGTTTTCGGTTGTTGCTGGGGGACTTTACACATTTACACATTACTATATATCTATATGTTTGATGTTTGAAAGAGAGTAAGTTATCAATTTCAAATATATCGACACGTTTTTATCAAGTTCGTGTTGTCGCATGTCACAAGCAAATAATATCACAATGGAAATATAGTTATATGTTTTATACCTTTTTGTATTTTTCTTTACACATACCATTCATGTTATTTATGAACAGAACATTTTAAAAAATTGTAAATGCTAGTATATAGGTATAAACTAAATAAGCATAAATTATTTTGTTATGGCTGACGCGTATCATTGTAAACATTGCTTACAAAAAATTAATGATTGAAAATACAGTACAAAATTAATTGTTCTTATATTTTATATATTTAAAGAATGCGACATGTACATACATTATTTTCATTTTTAAATCCTTTTGCAAAAGCCTAACAAAGTAATATTTTGGATTAAATAATTTTTTCACAACACCTCCACGAAAAGTTCGACTTTCGATGCCTGTAGAGAGGGGCAAAAGTGGCCAATTTTACACCAGGGCTTACCCTGAAAAAAGGGAAGAAAATTGATACTTTCCACCCGGTATAGCGGGCGGAAAGTATTAATTTTCTTCCCTGGGGAGGAAAGTAAGCCCTGGCGTGAAATTGGCCACTCTCGCCCCTCTCTAAGCATGGAAGTCGAACATTTCCGTTAAAGGTGTTGTGAAAAATATCACCTGTGCACCTCGGGTCGAAAGCTTTTTCAGTCGAGTGTGAAGTTTGCCGTCCGAGCCGAAGGCGAGGCAACTTTCTCCCCTTGGTGCACAATATACTATTATTTTCCATGTTTTGCTTGTGTGGATCGAAATCTCCAGCTAAACTACATGTTCAAAAGTAAGGTTTTTTACTTTTTCAATAATATAAGTAATACAATAAGTAATATATATATATTATTAAATTTTAATTAATTATACATATACCATGCTATTAGATTCATTTTTTCAGTCTTTTTTAGTGTATCGAATATATAACAGCAAAGTAAGATATCGAAGCCTTTATCAGCTGCAATAGATTATATCATTTAACCCACATTCATCGTATGCTATCTTAAGTAAATTCTGATATACGATATATTTTTTTTTACCGTAGCGAAACATTCGAACGATCCGTCAAATAGTCCTTTGATACTCAAAGTGAATTTTTTGGTGCCTCTTTGCAATAGAAACAGTATCATTTTTTGTATGTATAAGGGAGTCATATACCACTGAACGCTGTACCTGCGAAATTAGACGAACAAAAATTGGGAGTTTGAAAAAGAAAAAAATTATTTAATAATAATAATTAACATACACTCTAATCATTCTATAAATAAGATATTTACCTTTATTTTTAATATAAATATGCACAAATTGCTTATGTGTACGCACATATAATAATATTTTATATAATAAAATTTTCTTACGCAGTAACAAATACGTAATTAGTATGATCAATAACGTTCTGCCCGGCATAGTTGGCTAGGAACATGTATAAAATACAAATTGTTACGAATAAAAAGGGAAATAATAATTCTTTGACATTATCTTGAGATGAACCAATCTGAGAAATCTAAAATACGATCATTATAGAGAGTAGGTATTACGGAGAGAAGAGAAAGAATTTTCTGCCTACGTTTCATCTGTTATTTTTTACATGGTAAGCTATCTCATTATAACCGGAATTCTGACTCATTTAATTGAAGAAAAAAAAACAGATTTATACGTAGAATTAATTATAAATATCAATTAATTAAAGTTATTAATAAAAGTTCTCTCTTGTTATAGAACTACATTATGGAATATTAAACACCCTTTCCAGATAAAGATTTATCGAGACTTACTTGAAAGAGATTAAGGCTCAAAGAGACTACTCCGACTGCTATTAGACAGAATAGCATTGTCTCAAATTTAGATACCAAGAGTTCAGACAATCTTTAAACACAAGTAAATATTATTATATGACTTATATGTATAATTCTTGCATACTAACTTCATAGCTTGCCGATGCATATCTATAGCACAAATTATCCCTTCGAATATGACTTTCTCATTCTTCCTACTAATGTTTTTCAGCATATTGATTCTCATTACACGTTCAATACGATAACTATAAATAACATATTTATCGAGTACATATACTTTTTTGTTTTTACAAGATAAACTTTATTTTTAGATCCTTTTTTTCGAAATATAACAATTCCTTTTGTTTAACTTATTATTTAAGGTAACAAACAGAATTTCTATTCATAATAATAATATAATTTCTTTTATAATTTGAATTTTTGTAACCATTTCTATATTTCTGGCATACCTGGAGATTCTAAACATTCCACATGTAAGTTGGAGATACACAATAAGCATTGTTCCTCCAGCTATTATTATAAACAGCCCTATGCAAAATGCTACGTTGATATGTAATAGAATTAAAGAGAAATATCTTTCTTGATCGACGAAGTATTCCGTTATGAATTGCATTCGACGTGCTTGAGAAACATTTATTGGCAAAACATCAAAAGTACTCGATAAAAATTCAGCAGCAATAGAAGTAAATACACTGCAAACGCCAAATACTAAAGAATGTTCGAAAGTAACTTGTATAATTTTCTGTCATATAATATCTTAAAATATTGCTTTACGTATATGTATATTCTATCTCAAATTTTATATTTCATCAAACTCAATTATAATCGGCTTCTACTATTATTCAACTCATAATTCTACACGTTGAAAGGACCCCACAAAACCACGTGAAAAAGCCGTTCTACCAAATTGACTAAAACTTTGGGAATCGGTAGTTTATGTGATGCTGATGAAAAGTCTCTAGGCGCGAAGTCCGAAAATGGCCAGTTTTCAAGATACGAAAGGTCAAAGGTTGGGAATATGACCAACAGATCTAGCTTACATGGGTTATCTACGCACGCCGCACGCATCGACAGCACTCATTGAGACGGAACTTGTTCCTGTTGATCCGCTATCCTTGGATAGCGCTAAGAACGGGTAGCGCAAGCCAAGAGCCATATACTCGATCGCTGGCCGTATCAGTAACTTGGCCATATTAGCTGCACGAATGTTGCGTAGCTATTGCTTATCCTGACAGTCTTCACACATCCTCTGAACAAGTCCCATCTCAATGCGGAACAAGTTCCGTTTCAATAAGTGCCGTCGATGCGTGCGGCATGCGTAGATAACCCATATAAGCTAGATCTGTTGGCCATATTCCCAACTTTTGACCTTTCGTAACTTGAAAACTGGCCATTTCCGGATTTCGCGCCTAGAGACTTTTGATCAGCATTACATAAACTACCAATTCCCAAAGTTTTAGCCAATTCGATAGAACGGCTTTTTCACGTGGTTTTGTGCGGGGTCCTTTTATTCTTTATATCAAGCGAACACTATCTACTAATTGTTTATTCTTTATATTTAAATATCTTTAATCCAAAAATCATTATTTCTCTCCCAATATATTATATACAACATGTATTTTAATGGAGTGATGTATCATACATATGTGTGCAGATAAATTATTGTTATTTGTCAAGATTAATTTGTCTTCTACTGAAGTAACTTGCACGTAAACAAGACGAACTATAAGCAAATGCAAATCTAAAAATATTATCTTACTTGTAAGTGCAGCCGTGTAACGTTTTCCATTATAGCCATACTCTTCCATGATAGTGTTTTCACATTCATCTTGTAGTTTATCGTATACGTGCTGAAGTTGCGTCAATAAATTCTTTACCTGTCAATCCAGTAACTTTTATACCACCTTTGTGTATATTTTTTCAGAAAGATCGTTGAGTATAAAAATTTGTCACAGATATTAATTTAATCGTGTAAAAAAATTTAATTGTAAAATGTTAACTTACAGCTTTCATGTTACAAGCAAAAGAGATGTAATTTATCATAAAAATAGCAAAGGAAAACGTGACAGACAGAATCTTGACGATGAGATCCGAAGTACATTTCGAAGTTAAAAATGCGGTGAACTGCAAGCAATAATTTCATTAAAATGCTTGTATTTGAAATTTGTTTTTTATACATTTTATAACTTTTAAATTATAGAATTGTTACTTTATATGTATATAATAATTTTACAAAAAAAAGGTAATAATAATTATGTACGTGATGTCTTGCAACTATTGTATAATATTTAAATAGAACAGAGATTTTAATAAAAGATGAAAATTATAAAAGTCAAAATTACAAGAATATTCAAAAAGTAAGCAATCAAAATCAGTAAATAGTATTTTTTAAATCTTAAGTAAATTTTTTTACTTAATATTAGTATTTTTTAAATTTTACAATATCAATTCTGATATTACACATGTACGCGCACCTATCATTAAATATTGATCTTCATATCTAAGGTAATATTGATTTTCTCTGTTCCGCTGACATACAATGTTGGTTTCTTATATACACTGCTTCTATGTACATGTATACATTTTAACAACCAGCTATACATTAGCAAGTTAATTATCAATGGCAGGGCTTACTCGTTACATGCAAATTATTAAAAATTTTAGATTATTGAAAATTTAATTGTTTATTTAAAAACAATTATTAGATGTAGCGAATTATTAAATAATCTAATGTTTGTTTTTATTGAAAGAATAAAGTTAAAACGTATTTTGTTTTTGTCGAAAAACAGAAATGAATATATACATATATTATCGTTCTTCCTAAATTTTTATTAAGTAAAAAAGATCACAAATCACAAATATTTATTCAAATGTTTATATTTTTTGCAGTTAATCAATCTTCCTTTCTTTGTTTATTAAAATTACAAAATTTTGAATTTTATATTTGAATAGATAAATCTCACGGTAATCATCAATGCTTTGATCGCTTATAATTAACATTGATATTTCTAAGACTTCTTATAGTAATTGTACTCTTCAAAAGATACTGTTAGAGTGTTACACAATGAAGTAAACATATTGTAATACAATTAATACATGAAATAATTTTCTTTTTTATATAAATTATTATATTAAATTATGTATATGATAATAAAAGATGTAATAAAAATTATCTAAAAATACAACTTTTTTAGATAATTTATATCTACTTTATATCAAATATACAAAGTATATAACTTATCTAAAAGTAATAATATGTAAGAAAAGAAATATAGTCTTACTTGAAACAAAACAGCAGTCGCAAGAATAATCAGGAAGAAAATAAACCGAAAACGTACGAGTTTCGTTCGTTGATAAGGCCACAGCCCTACAGCGAGTAAGAGAATCTTATTAAGACTAAAGTATTGGGCTTCGATAGAGATCATTTCTTTGCAACCTCCAAAATAAGACTGCGAAGATATCGAAGGCATGATTGCTCCCTCCTTTTTGCATTCATTAAACAGACATTCTATGGCTGCTCTCTTTTGGTATAAATTTTAACGCAATTTTCCTAATGTCGTTCGTACGCAAGACGGCACGAGACACTATCGTGAGATCAAAACATTCGCATTTTAATAATATTTCTCACAAAAGCTATGATTAAGCGATCGATTTAATACCAGTGAAATTCAGCAGATGTTCTATTTCGCATAACAAAATTACTCGTGAGAGAACTATATTTCCGCGAGAACAATACAAGAGTTGCGCATGCGTATTTAGCACTTGAAATTCATGCCTTTACACGCTTCATTCCTGTTCGTGCAATCGTAAGAGTTTTATCTACAAGGAGAATGTTCATCCCTTCAGTCTTAAGTATGTATTATTAAACGTTCAAGTTATTGTTTAAAGTAATATTATTCTCTTTTCCTTCTCTATCAAAGCGTAAGAATACGTATTTTATGTTCTTCATAACTCCACCAACAAAAAACTTAAATTTGAAGTCTTAAAAATATTTATGCTAATAATAATATTGATCAAAAAGTAATATGTGTCGACAAATATATTTCTAACAGAGATAATCAAGTTTAAACGCAATACAATGTTAATTAAATTTCTAACACGATTTTATTTTAAAGTATAGCAATATGTGATTTGCTCCAATGCATTATGAATATGTGATATGCATCAACGTCTTTGATTGAATAATTTTATGTGTGATATTTTATACCTCTGTATAATTACATTTGAAATGTTTCATGTTTTATAAACAATATTTTCAATAAATCTGTTTACTCAAAATTATATACATCTCAATTTTAAACAAAATATGAAATAAATATATCAAGAATTTCTAATTAATTATCCATATTGTTTACATTCTAATATATAATTAGATTTTATTTTTGGTTTATTATTGTATAGAATACATAACAGTAAAGTAAGATACCGAAGCCTTCACAAGCTATAAAGAATGATATTGTTGAGTATATGTTCATTTATATTACGTTACATTAAATATATTGTATTACGTGATATATGATTTTCTTACCGTCGCAAAACACTCTAACGATCCAATAAATAATCCACCAATACCCAGAGTAAAATTTTTGCCGCTTCTTTGTAACAGAAAAAGAATCATTCTTTGTATTTGTAAGGGAGCTAGATACCATTGAACGCTGTACCTGTGAAATTAAATTTCGTTAAATTAAAGAAAAATAATTTGAAAAAGAAAAGAAAATACATAAATAACATTCATACATATATTTGTATATGTACGTTTTATAGATAAAGTGCTTGTTTACTTTCAAGATAGATAAAGTGCACATAAATATATGTGTATATGTATAATAATAAAAAAGTCTTTACGCAGTAACGAATACGTGATTAGTGTGATCTATAATATCTTGCCCAACATAGTTAGCAATGAACATGTATAAAACGGTCGACGTTACGAATACAACGGGAAATACAAATTCCTTGATGTTATCTTCAGATGCACTAATCTGAAAAATCTAATTTGCGAATTTCGCAGACATATCGAGTTATTTACATTTGTGTTGTATTAAATTGCTTCAGTTCACTCACAAATGCTAAGCTATATAAATAATAGAATATGCTAATTCTAAGTTGTTTAAATAATAAAAATTTCGAGTGATATTTATAAAAGATAATTTATACGCGACATGTTTTAATCGGAAGCATCAAGCAAAAAACACGTTGTTT